CTTCTAATATATATATGTTAGACAGACTATGATGAATGAACGAACTAAGACCCGCTGCTATAATGGCAAATTCGGGGACTTAGCGCCACCTTGACGGGCTCGCACGCACGTCAGAGGCGCCCACGCCATTGGATGTGCAGTTGCCGCAGCGCAGCCTGAGCGAGCCAGACGCTCAATGTGCAAGCTGTGCAGTTGCAAATGCATTTTACAGGCTTCAGTAAATCGAGTAAAATGTGTTTCCGAAGACAATTGTAGGCTATGATAAGAAAAACTACTAAAAAACATTTAAAAAAAATTTTTGCACCGGAAAGAACATTCTAGAAGTCTAATTCTATTGAATAAGTTTGCACAAGGCTACAGAAAACTGTTGTTTATTTTTATTCAAATGCAGTCTAAGCCGATGAGTTTTGAATGTTATATGTTGTATTTGTTTAAGTTAAAAATAAAGCGTATTATAATCTAAACAAATACATGGTTCATTTTTGGCAAAATGATCATGATAGCTTTTATATATCTGTGTGGTTAAGTCTTGTATATTGATTAAGCCTACTTTGCTATTCTATAAATATATAGGCCTAATAAGTTGCATTATAATAGGATATAAAATGTATGAATTTCAGGGGGCATGTCACTACCACATGTCTCCCCCCCCCCCCCCCCCCCCCCCCCCCCCCCTCCTTCCTTATTTCCATTTCAGAAAGTTGGCAACCCTAGACACAGCTTATGAGTATGCGATTCCGAACGCAGCCCGTGTCTAAAATAGGATCGGCGCGTGTCGCCGTCGCGGCTGGTTACGACAAAAACTCTGATTAAAAGATACCTTTTTATCGCGCGTCGTGGCGCCGCGTTGTGTCACGTGTAGTTAGGACACTGTGTAATAAATAATGACTAGTACCTAATGAATAGCTAGTACTGCATCTATTAAATAGGTAGTATTTAATTAAAAACAATAGTATTTAATAAATAAGTAGTATCAATGAATACTTAATACTTACTGTGTGTGCAGCAGAGGTTTTAACCTCCTGAAGAAAGACCAAATGGGGGAGGGGATGTCACTGAGTACATTAGTTGGTTTCTTAAAGGGGCGTTTACCCCATAATGACAGGGTGGACAGCAATTTCAGGGACACATGCAAAATGCTTAATATTATTATGAAAATAAAATCTAAATAATCAAAATGGCTTGTTTTATTAAATAATTTGCAGAGGTCAATAAGAACATTCAAAAAAGATTTTAATTTTATGTAATTTAACCACTTTTTACACTCACTGAAGTTAGCTGATCAGCGTGTGGGACATACCAAAATCACAGACATCCAATAAAAGAAAATGGTATAAAATCAGAAAAACACACTTCAAGAGACTTATCATTGTACTTGTATGTGCGTAAGTTGTGTGAGTGCGTGCGTGCATGGTGAGTGAGGGAGTGTGTGTGTGTGTGTGTGTGTGTGTGTGTGTGTGTGCGTGTGCGTGTGTGCGCGTGTGTTCATATTACATTGTGGGGACCAAATGTCCCAAAAACAAAACAAAAAAACAAAGTTGTGTGTGATGGGTAGGGTTAGTGTAAGGGGACAGAATATACAGTTTGTACAGTATAAAAACCATTACGCCTATGGAGAATCCCCACAAAGATGTGTGCGCCTGTTTGGGTGTGTGTGTGTGTGTGTGTGTGTCCTGCGTTGAAACATACAAGTGTTTATGGTTTTTAGCTGATCTCTGATCAGTTGAATTAATTTGAAGACGATGTAATTAGACATTAGAATAATTAAAAGGAATAATAGTAGTTAATAGTCTATTATTGGCCTGTTTATCTGAGCCATGGAACAAACAAAAAAAGCCATGAATAATAATAATAAGAACACATGTTGAAAAAGCTCTCCAATCTGTATTATATTTATAAAAGATTACTAATGCCCCCTTGTGGCTAAATGCATGTTATGTTAAGAGATAGAAAACGTGCATTAAAGGAACAGTCTAGTTATTGGGGCACAGTCTATAGCGCATACACAGAGAGAGTTTGATGGAGTTATGCATAGATATACATAATAAAGGACATCTAGCCTTTATTATGTATATCTATGGAGTTATGTATGAAGGTAAAATAGGTTGTTGTGTGTTAAGGGTGGTATTGGGTTTGTCCAGTAGGGGGCGGTGGCGCACTGTGTTTGTGGGCTGTAGCACTGTTCAAAACAGAGAAGAACGCGTCACAATCTTTTTATAGTCTAGAATGTAGACCATGTAGACCATATGATATCTATGATGTAGACGGGCTTTGGATGCACATTCTCTGGATGCTATGTGGCGTGATTGAGATGCTAGTACAGAGATGAGTCAAAGAGACCATTCTGGGGCATCTACAATACAGGGATCTCGTCCATCTTTTTTCACAGTCTATAGTTTTGATCGGTTCGACAGAGTGCGTTCATATACCAGCTGAGTAATCTTTGTTCAGTTATTGATTACTTCTTACGAGTTGTATTTCAAGTATTACTACCGGTATTTTGATATTAAACCTATAATTTGATATTATCTTATGTTCAATATCTATCTGTGATCATTTAATCTCAATTTCTAAGTAAAGTTGAGTATCTAGGATTACTTGGATATTATTTATGATAGAATATGATGTTTATATCATCTCTGTCAGATCACATGTCAGACAACGTGACACCATTTTATCATCTGTTATTTGTCTCGGTCTTTATTACGTGATTATATTTGTATACCTGTGAAATATTGGGTCATTGCATGCATAATATCACTAATAGTAGTATTCAGTATTTACTATAAGCCAAATTTTGTTCACTCTAGATGTTACAATCTATGGATAACAGTACCACAATGCTTAGTTCTTCTGTGCATATAACCAACTGAACAATGATGTAATCTTGAATATGTTATAATTTAAATATTGTTATTTTTATTTCATTTAGAACCACTTCTGTTTAAATGTGTCTGCAAATTACCACCCATTAAAGAGATATACGTCTCTGACTGGACGTCTTGTGCTTACTTTCCACCAGAATATAAGATAATCTTCATTACAAGACATATTATACAGACATTTGATATTTAATATTATTAGATAAGGTAATGGCACTTGATATTTTACTTTGATGTGTGTTTGTAAAAGGTGTTTTCTGCTTGTTTTTTCCTGCTGTTAGGAAATCTTCATGGGTCAGTCACGTAACATCACCATTACAAAATGTCACAGCCATGTAAAATCCAATTGTCAAAATGGTTTAAGATGCCTTTGTTTGTTTTTTTATTTAAAAACAATTAAAACTGGAAACAAAACTCAAAATATACAATCAATAAAAAACAAATATTCCATAACAGAATGAGAACATTTCAAGGCAGAACTGCACTCTGGAAGTTCGATTAATGGATAAGATTAAATATATATATATATATATATATATATATATATATATATATATATATATATATATATATATATATATATATATATATATATATATATATATATATATATAAATAAAAGGTTCAAGGCTAGTGTATTCTTTTTATTATGTACATAAATGGACCATGGTAAATATATTTACACAGGTTTTCAACCCCGTAATTCGGAGCCCGGGAAGTTTTCTGTGGGAAAAAACAAAACCTGAGGCGACGGTTTTCCAATCCGTTAGTTTATAAACTGTACTCACGAATTCTTAAACTGTTCCCTCGGTTTAACAAATCGTGCAATAGTAGAGTAACATAGTGTGCACTTCTGAATTCAGCAAGTGTGTAAAACTGAGCTGGACGATATAGAGGATATATTTATTAATGAACTAAATTAATAACTTTCTTTACAACAGAAATGAATCATCACTGAACTTACTGAAGCTGGACTGTGAATTTATTTTCTTCTGGAAACAAACTTTGTTGCATTATTTTCCTGTTATCTCTGTAAAGCTGCTTTAACACTGTATTGTAAAAGCGCTATATTAATAAAGGTATCTTGACTTGGATTTATGAGCCCAAACACAGTCCAATACAGTAAATTAATGAGGACTTATACTAAGTCATGAAACTCCATCAAACGTTGTTCTTCTTCTGGCTGTTTAGTTACACATACTTTATATTCTTTTAGCAATTTAAAAAATATTTAAACATCCTCTTCATGTTTCATTGTATACATTACAAAACAAAAAAACATTATTTTCTGAAAATAGCAATACATTAAAATATGTATTTTATGCAAAAGAATATACGAACAAAATGTTTATTTCATGATTGGTTTAATTTAGTTTTTTCACAGTGAATACACTACAGATTCACAAAGAACAGCAGATCACCAGAAAAAACCTCAGATAAAAGCAACATATAAATATGTTTTCAAAACAGTAAATAATATACATATATACATGCTCACACAAACACTGCTAGTCTTACACAGTTTGACACAGATACACATTCTCAGTTCATCAGTTTACGGATTAAATAGACACAATAATTCATAGATCATGTATTATATTTTTAAGGCTGCTTTACATTAATACTAAACACAGATACAGTAACAGATTCCTGAGGAAGAACTGCAGCACAAATGTTCATACGTACTGACAATTAAATATATATTGCAGAAATATGTTGACAGATTCCTCTGCAGGAAATGGTTTTGTTTTGAAGGAGAAAAAAGCATATATTACTGGACTCGATCGAGAACAACTAACAAGATCAAGTCCAACACGAGTCTAACAGTAGAGAAACCTCTAGAGACTGAACTGGAGAACTACAGCACTAGATCATCATTATACACCGACTGTCCTCTGACCCCTGAACTCAGTGCTTTCCCCCTTAAAGTAATCTCTGTGCAGACGTCTGTATATCAGGACAGTAATCAGAACCACCGGAACCACCAGAACCACAGTCAGTCCAACCAGCAACATCCAATGATCTACAGCTGAAGGGAAAAGTGGGAAGAGAGTTTAATATGTTGAATTCACTGTTTAAGATCTTCTGTAATTCTCTCATGTTTTACTCACGCCTATGTTCAGTGTCGCTCAGATTTCCCTTCGAGTCTAGAACAGATTCTGTCCAGAATATTGAAAGGTTATTCATGCAGTTTAGTATTAATTTGCTGATTAAACATAATATTTCTGCTCCTCCACTGATCTTCTCTCACCTGTGACTGTGACTGTGATCAAGGCTTCATTATTAGAGTCCAGAGCTCTGTATGTTCCAGTGTCAGTGACTGTAAAGTCATGAATGATCAGAGTCTGGTCACTGACGGTCAGTCGATCACTGCTGACCCCGTGACCTCTGACCCCGTGACCTCTCCTCCACACCTCTGTCCAGCCGGAGCGAGAGTTTCTCTCCACTTTATCAGCGTTGATCAACACAACATCCAACTTCAGATCCTCTCCTTTCTTCACTGAGATCTCATCTGAGGACACACACACACATTCATCCTCAATCACAACTATAATAGTGTCATTTAATCAAGGCCATAATCACATATTTAATATTGGGGGATCAGAGGAAAACATTGGAGAAACCCAATCGACTCTGAATATTAAGTTTGTCCATTCAGTGTTTCTGCTGTTTCTAGTCCTGCACACAATACCAACACTATTACAGGAAATAAAGAAAACACATGATGATGTTTGATCAGTTTTGACTTTACCGTGAATATGAAGATGATATTTCCTGATCTGTCGCTCCAGCTCTCTCTGATCATTATTGTAATAAAACATGTAAAAAGTATTTCCCAGCGTCACTGAATCTCAGATCGTTGATGATGACGTCACATGATCCTTCTTTACACACTCGACCGCTGCAGTTTCTCTCCTCACACACAGGGATGTGTTTCGCCAGACTGTATAAACTAATATCCACAATCTCTCTGTCCTCAGATCCACAGGATAGAGTGACGATTCCTCCCTTTATTCCTGACACAGGTTTAGTGGAGGATCCTGCACACACACACAGCAATATTCACTATATACACACTAGCAATACTGACAAATAAATGTTCTGGCTATTTTCTGTAATCAAAGGATCTTAAAAATTCTAGTGGAGTTATTTTATTAAACTGGATTAAAATAAATAAATAATGATGGAAAACAAGTAGCCATAAATATCAGAAGTGGCACATTACAGGTTTCATATGTTGATGACAGTATAAACCTAGAGATGAGCAACACAACAGAAAAACAATAAACTAGAATAACTACGGTAGTAGCTTGAACTAGTCATAGTCAAAATCATAAATGACACTGACCGCTATAACTGATAAAGCACAGCAGAAGAAGAGGAAGAAGAATCATCCTGGTGAGAAAACAGAAGGTGTGTTATGTGACAGACACACACTACATTACACACACACTTTCAGTTTATTGAAAGATTTTCATCCACATGTGGATCTTACATGATTAAAAAATATCAAACTATAATCTTTTTTTTATCTTCGTTTCTGCCATCATAGAAAGCACAATGGCCGTGTGTGTGTGTGTGTGTGTGTGTGTGTGTGTGTGTGTGTGTGTGTGTGTGTGTGTGCACATGTGCACGTGTGTGTGTGTGTGTGTGTGTGTGTGTGTGTGTGTGTGTGTGTGTGTGTGTGTGTGTGTGTGTGTGTGTGTGTGTGTGTGTGTGTGTGTGTGTGTGTAAATCATGTAGATTCACTGAATTTGCCCCCAGTGGTGAAACATACGAGTGTTTATGGTTTTTACCTGATCTCTGATCAGTTCTATTCATTGTAGATGTTGTAATTAGACAGTGTGATTAAAATTAATAATAGTTAATAGTCTCTTGTTGGCCTTATTATCTGAGCCATGGAAAAAAAAAAACTAAACAAGCCCTGAACAGTAATAAAAGAACACATTATACAGACATTTTATATTTAATCTTATTAGATGATAAGTTAATGGGATTTGATATTTTACTTTGTTATGTGTCTGTAAAAGCTGTTTTTCTGCATGTTTGGTCTGAGTTTGTTGCAGTTTCACTGTTTGTCCAGCAGGAGTCGCCAGCGAGTAGAGATTCGAAACACTGAATCATTTTGCGAACCAAATGTTTCAATTGATTCGAAGCTTTGAAAAGATTCTTTTCTCCGAGACTCCAGTGGCACTCTGAGCTCAACTCTACTTTCAGCTGTGTCTTTCTCCTCCTCTAGAAAGCTCTTCTCTCCTGGATTTAATGTTGCAGAAGTTTAAGCCACTATACTTTCACAATCGGCTGACGCCGATTTAATTTGTAAAAATCGAACTTACGGATTCGCCATTATATTTCATGAGATAGCATTTTCAAGTCATTTTATTATTTAATAGTTTTTTTTTAGTTAAGTGCTTATTGTAAATGGGTATTTTGAATTATTTTATTTACTGAACCGCTACTGATCATCAGATAGCAGCGATATCAGATAGGCTATATCATCATCGGCATTGAAACGGCACAAATGTACATCAGCGCATATGCAGGTTTAGTTTTCCACAAACAGACACAGTCATTAGTATAAGAATATAAAAACTCACAAGCTGGCATTATATTTAAAAATATGAAAACTTACATGGTAAAAGTTCTGCATGGCTCTTATGTTCAACCAGGCTTCATCAAAACAGACAGCTCGCGGACAAGGGTAACTCAGTTCTGGCTGTAGGAAAGGGCGAATCTGGTATTTATACTACATGCAGGACTCGCAGTCAACCTGGAATCTGGGCGGATCTACACAAACTACTGTGAACGGGGAGGGATCTAAACACACTGTACTGTGAACGGGGAGGGATCTAAACACATTGTACTGTGAACGGGGAGGGATCTAAACACACCGATTATAGATTTTTGTAGACCCGCCCCTCGTAAAGTGTGGGTTTTCTTCATTAGGACACCACCAAACCCAGTGGACAATTGATGTTGAACATCGACGTCAAAAAACAGTTCAAATAGCTTCTGCAAGCTAAACTTCCGTGATTATAGTATTAGCCTATATATTATAATACAGATTTTTTTGTCCATTGGTTATTGCACAACCCTACCTTATGGCATGCTTTAAATGCTGACTTTTCCATTTATAGCTAATAGTAATGATACATTAACATCCCTGTTTAACGGGCATTTAACAATTAGCCTATTCAGTCCTGCATTAAGAATACCAAAGGTTTATAACACAGTTTAGCATCAATTTTCTGTTTAAATCATGATGAATAATCCTCAGCTGTCCAAATGCTTTATAAAATAATATTTCTACTTCTCCACTGATCTTAGTGGTGTCGTGCTGACTGAACACGAGACACATATATCCACAAATACTGAACTTTCAATCTCAAGAAGTGAAGACAGAAGTAATCTAGTAAACAGCTCATTTATAATAATATAGTTCCCTCTTGTGTAATATATGTGAACTGCACTGCAATATACAGTCTTGTAGTGAGGAGACCTGTTTATTTGATCAGAACTCAACAACACATTTAACATTGAAGACATTTTTATTTATAGCCGAGCTTTATGTGCCATAAAATAGATGGCGTTTATATTTTCCTTAGACTCACTCAGCTTAGCCTAGCATACTTAATGCTCCTTAATATAGGCCTATAATGTCTAAAGATATACATTTCTAACAAAAGTCTTTGGTCTAATGATTTTCAAGCATGTGTTCGTTTGTTTTGGCTTCGACAGAACTTGACTTTATGCTTTTCTTGATATATACATGTAAAAACATTGGTTGCTTAAAACATGCTACTTAAGCTCATATATATATAGGCTATACTGTATATATACTGTATACAGTAAATAAATGTTCTTCATGATCCATGGAATCTTTCCGTTCCACAAAAGGTTCATTATAGTGGAAAAAGGTTCTTTAGATTATAAAAATGTTCTTCACACAAAAAAAAATAGTTTAAGCTTTTAACATCTGATCAATGAAAGGTTCTTTAAGGAAACAAAAAGGGTTCATATGGCATTACTGTGACAAAAAAAGGGATGATTGAAACATATTGAGCAAAAGTAAAATAATTTTACAAAAGCCTCCACATTGAATGCGTTCTGAAGATAAATAATAAAGTCCTGAATCTGCCTCTGTGACTCCAGTAATAACCAGCGTGACTGCTGTGATCTCTGAGTCTGCATCAACTTCCAGACGACTTCTGTTGAGATTGAACGTCACTAGAAGTTTTCTTCCGGCTGCTCTGCTGGTTTTTGCAGATATTAGTTGGGTTAGTTGTTGAGAAAACTGATGAAACCAGGAGATTTCATATCTGTCGCTCATGTTGCAGTTCAGACTGATTCTGTCCTTCAGCTCGACTCTGAACAGAGTCACTTCATCTTCTGAAACACGACTGAGCCTTTAACATTATTGAGATAAAAACATCTATTATTTGAGGTTAAAATGATCAGTTATGTTAAAGCATAGAGTAAATGTACCTCTAGAAATGATGTGAATAATCCTGAATGAAAAAACACAAAAGAACATGACGTTGTTCATTGTGTCTGTTATTCGTAATGTTGATCAAACTACAGGTTCCAGATCAGTGCAGTCACTAAAACACGTGTTTTACATTTCCTTTCATAACCATAAAGTTCACGCAGCTTTACATCATTTAGAGTGCTTTTTTGTTACAGCTGTGGTTTATTGTACTTCACTGTTTTATGTGCATTGTGCAATGCCATAATTATACTTTATATATATATATATACACATCTGAAACTAACATCTTACACTCCTGTCAGTGCTTGACATAATTTGCAGCCATATATATTTTACACTGGCCATGAAACTGTATATGGATTAATTCATTATAAAAAAAGCAGAACTAATATCTAAATATAGCTGCGAGCAGCGATTACGGGCCCAAGCCGGTGGCACCGCAACCCCGGTAAAGGCACCGGGGTGGCGGTACCACCGGCTTTGGCCCTTCATCGCTGCTCGCAGCTATATTTATATATATATATATATATATATATATAAAGCCGGTGGCACCGCCACCCTGGTGCCTTTAGGGTTATTGTGCACGACGTGCAAAAACGTAACCCTGCTTTGACTGTCGAAAAGAAGTGTGCTGTAGAGCTTGTATCAGTGTGGGCTCTGCAAAAGTGTGCATTGAGGGCACATATCAACCACAAAGTATGCGAGAGCAACCTTCTGAAAGGTCAGGTCTACATCCAGGTCTACATCTGCCGTGTGTTTACATCATAGTAGTGAAGTTTGAAGCAATCAGGTGATTTCAAAGCTTTTTGAAAGTGACAGACTTCCTGCTGCCAGTTGGTGGCGCTATAACCGGGGTGGCGGTGCCGCCGGCTTTGGCCCTTTCATCGCTGCTCGCAGCTATATTTATATATATACACACACAAACACACACACACACACACATACAGATATATATATATATATATATATATATATATATATATATATACATAAATATATATATATTGTTTTTTTAAGAGACAAGACAGAATATTACTTGCCTGATCTGATTAGAAAATTAGTGTTTGTGTGTGTGTGTGTGTGTGTGTGTGTGTGTGTGTGTGTGTGTGTTTGTGTGTGTGTGTGTGTGTGTGGCGTAATTGAACAATGTAGACATAAAAACATACTCCGTCCTTTTGTTCATACAGGACATTATTCAAACTGCAAAGTGTTTACTTATATTTGTGTACACTTGCAATAAAACACAACATTGTGCTTTTGTCAAGCTATAAACTCTTGTCAAACTGTAAACTACAACTGTCACCCAACCAAAATCTCTTACACACACA